ACTCATCCACATTTCAGTAATTGATGAGTATCTGGCAAGTTTGCCACCGAACTGGTCAGAGGGGAAGCACATCACTGCGGCCACACTGGTGGAACCGAGGCCACGTGTGCCAGCCTCAGGGACACCGTACCAGCGTCCAGTTATTGGTAGGTCCTCTAGTCTTACTGTCTTCAACTGGCATATAACAAGCAAATAGCAAACCCTAACTGCATACTAAGAATGTGCTAGTTGAGTATACTGTATTGCAAGCTCCGATATATAAACGAATCATCAGAAAGAAGTGATGGTCGAGGACGCCTGTATGTGCTTTTATGTATGACGCTGCAACAGATTAAATGTTACAAAAACGTTTTATCCATCCCAATATTAAAATAACAACAGTTGTAAGTATATTAAACTTTTGATAATCGTATAATTGTATTTACCGTGACAGATACAGGCTGTCCAGACGGATGGGTTCGGAGTCCGGCGCAACCACCATTCTGTTACAAGTTGGTTGAAACACCCAAACTGCCACACGATCTTGCTGAGGCCTCCTGTGTCGTATCAGGAGGTCATCTGGTGAGCATCCTTGACGCTGAGGAACAGGCCTTCGTCCAGTCTATTGTAGGCATCGAAAATGCGGTCAATTCAAGCTTCACGGGCCACGAACAGTCTGACTTTTCTGGAGATGGAGAGACGGGCGTTTCCCAGAAGCCAGTGTCGCCTAGGTATATCATATTATTTTGCCTTGCTTCGGTCGACAAATATAAAACGGTATACTAACGAGGGCAATATAACTGTAGGAATGAGGGTGCAAACTCTTGCTTATTTTTTCTCGTTACGCTTGTTATTTTGTTTTTAGAGGGAAAAGTGGGAGGAGGGGATACCTCAGGACTATGGGGGGAGGCGTGGCGTTCTGTGACCCCTAGACCCGCCATCTCTCTCTCTCTCTCTCTCTCTCTCTCTCTCACACACACACACACACACACACACACACACAGTCATACAGTTCTGTGCCACTTTGACTTTTAGAGTGTAGCGTATTTAATACTTATGCTGACCAATCCTTGAAAAAGTAATGTCCACTAATGTGTATCTTTATCTATGTCATTAGTTCGCCAACTACTGATGAATGGTTTCACATCGGCCTTGACGGACTATTTCACTGGACTGACGGCAACAGCGCTAAATATGAGAACATGAATCCTGGAGATGTCGCTGACAACTGTGCCGGGTTGTTTTACGATTCACTCGATCCACCGGATAAACACGGGATGTGGAAATCGCTAAATTGCAATGAGGAAGGGAAGTTTATGTGCAAGCGACCGAATGACAGGCGCCTGTGCTTCCCCGAGTCCCACTTAGTAGACGACAATGTTCCAGTCTGTGTGAACAACTATCGACCTTGTCCCGCGGGTTACAACTTTCGACACAGGTCTTCCTGTTACAAGTTATATATGACTGAACTTACTTGGGATATGGCGCGAGGGATCTGTGCTAATGATGGCGGCAATCTGGTAGATTTTGAAACCCAAGCAGAGCTATTATTCATGGGCCAGTATCTCGGCAATCATATGCATATTACTAGTAAGAAATGGTTCCTCTCTCCCTCTCTCTCTCTCGTTGCAATTACCAAATGAGTGGTTAGAAATTAAGATGAGGGTTCTTTTCACGGTTTGTACTTAGTTCCTAGATATACCGCGGGTATAATCTAGACGCTAGGGGCTCTAATCCTACGCTGGAAGATTCTAGGTACGGTACGCGAACCCCAACTTGGATTATGCCCGGAGAGAAGAGTAATGCAACACCACCGTTTAGTTACGAAAATCAAAACTCCTTTATTGTCAGGTCGTAGCCTGGTTTTATACCTACCTTGGCGTGACAGACTTATCTTAATTGTGACTTTACTATAATTAAAGAAGATAAGATAAGAAAAAGACTGACGTTAGATAAGAGATATAAACTTCTATTGACACTTGTTACGAGTCGCGCGCCCAAGCCCGCGACTCAGATTGAATAAATTTTCATTTTTATTAATGTTAAATTTTACTGGTCTGAACACACCTTCATTTTGTGAGGATTGTGAGAGGATTCCTTATTTTTTTATTTTTTTTTTTTGGGGGGGGGGGGGGGGATAAGAATGGCTACCAATGTTTTTAAAATCATTTTCTTTTATAAAGCCCGATTTATTTTTCTTGTGTATTTAGATTTTTTATGATATCATTTTCTTTGTTTTTGAAAATCCTTTTTGTCTAGCTGTTTTGATTTTCAGTCGAGTCTCATTTTAAAGGTAATAGTGCACTTGCACTGAATTTGGTTACAGTGCATTATTGGGTTGTTTCAAAAACAAAGAAAATGATGTCATAAAAATTTAAATACACAAGAAGAAATAAATAAGGCTTTAAAAAAGAAAATTTAAAACAAGCATTGGTAGCCATAGTTACCCCCCTCCCAAAAGATGTTGTAAACAAACAAACAAACAAACAAGTAAACACTCCTCACACAATCCTCACATGAAAAAGAACCCTCAGCCCGATTTCTTACTACTCAAATGTACTTTGGTAACTGAGATTGAATCTGACCTTTGACCTCGCTATATTTTCAGATCAGTTGATTTGGGTGAACAGCACCAGTTGTATGACATTATACTGGGATAATGGGGCGCTGTCTAATACGCCGTGCGAAGATAAGTACCAGTTCGTTTGCGAAATTGGTAGGTAATTAGCTTATGGATGTTCTTATAAAATGTCAAGTTTTGCATGCACGCTTATTTACCACAATCAGAATATGTCTAACATGTGTTAAATAGATTAAGTTAAGACTACATTCCCACAGATTTTAGATCGATCTATCCCCGTGGGGAGTCTCAGTAGATTACTGTCAGCTTAGCCGGCTTAAATGTCTGTCCCGCCTACTGAAAGCTGTAAGGGTGTAATTAACTTCCGTGCGCGCTCGGCTGACAGCAATTTAGCTTGAACCCCCAGGGAGTTGGGTCGATCCAGATGGATCTATCTAAATCTGTGGGAATGCAGTCTTATTTTCACGAACAAGTGTTGTTACGTTTAATTTAAAATTGTGCTGATTTATCAATTGAATTTCTCTTTTTGTTTGTATATTTAAAGTTCACGTAAAAATATAATATCTTACGTCACTTACCCAACACTGGCTGTGTATTGGGCATGGGAGCACGTGCTTGCCGTTTTGCAAATATCACGTTCGTTCAGATCACCCCTGTTTATTCGATCATTCGCAGAGTTATCGTTTCAGTCCTGTATTTATTTGTTTTTATTTCAGATATGAACGATGTATTTGATAAAGATGCTTACAGATCGTGCCACGATGTATTCCCGACTGGTATGAAAGCATGGATATATCCATCACCAAACATTCCCCCCATTTACGCCAGATGTGAAGAGGCAGAAATTGGAGGATACAACGATTTCACGATTTACGGTGACAGAGATTATCAGTTTCAAAGCAACAGCAATGTGTCTTTAGCTTACTCGTATAAGGAAAAAAGGCTGAATTTAAACTTTCTGTCCGCCATTACGGATGTATCATTAAATTGTGAACAGGTTAGTACGTTATTTATACATTTGTGTATGTATATATCTTAATACTGCAATAAGTAAGGTGTCTTGAATTAAACTGATACCGATAGTACGGTAAATGTCACTTGAATGCCACTTGAATGAAACACAAAGTAGGTCGTGATATTTTTGTTACTTTCTGGGTAATTTTTTCAACATGAAGTCACATTCGCCACCAAAGGTGCGCTCAGACTTTGTACCATTATGCCCAGGTAACCCTAGGGCACAGAATGACAGCCAGCACAATGCACCGTGTTATTTTTTTTTTGTAGGATGCATTCAAATTCACGCATCGTACTAGCTGGGTCGGCCCAACTGTGCAGGGAGTTTCGCCCAAGTGCAATCAGAAGAATCGGCTTAAAAGGAGCTGCTCGAGGAGTCGTGTCAGACAATTAAGTTGATATGACTGATTTCACCACAACGAGAATCCCCCGCAGAGTTGTACCGACCTGGTAACCAGTAATACGATGTCTGAATCTGAATGCTGTCGTAAAATTTGTCCGTCATTTGGCATGTAAGCTTACCGGCACAAAAACATTCGGTATCTTTTTGCCAGCACTGATTACATAATTTCAAACAGTGAACACGCGTATGGTATAGGCCTACTGTAGAACGCTTTCGTCACGCCACACCAGCAATATTTTGATCTATCGAATGGCAGAACTGTGAGTTTATGCTGTCACCGAGTTAAACTAGGGCCAAGGGCGGATTTAGGCCGTTTTTCTGGGTCTTCCGGAACACGGTCAGATTTTTAAGTTTACATTGACAGGTATCTATTTTTTCTGTCGGAAGACGGTCAAAAATGGAGGATGGATCAACAAAGATAATTTGGAAGACTCTCAGAAAATATCTCTGTATCCGCCCCCAAGGGTATGACTTTGCATATTTTCACTCTGTTATTGTTTTATGCATTATGAGCTTAATCCTGTTTCTTTTCAGCATATTGGAGTCAGCTGCATCAATGCGACCGTGTTTGGAGGCAGCACGTGGTGGACCTCGCGCCAGGGTTACCCAATCACGGGCTGGGGAGCACCAATCAATAGTTCAAACTGCGCATGTAATGCAACCTTTGAGAACACGTGTGTGGATAAGAGGTAACCCGGATGTCTTACAATTGGCATGGATCCAAAATATTTTAGCAAACCAATGTGCGATTCTTCTGCCATGGAGATATAATATTAATTGATAAATTAGGTTTGTTTCTGAGAATTTTCCCCATCTTTTTAATTCACATAATACATATGTGATGATCGAGAATGTTATGTGTATCCTTTTTGAAAACAAAACAAAATGGCTGCCATTAGCCATAGAAAATGGGGTTCAGTTAATACCTGCTAGAGATAGGCTTACAAATAAAATGAAGCTGAATTCAGTTGTTATTCTGTTTTTTTAGTATTATTATCCCATGATACATATCTGTTAGGAAATTAATGTCCATATTTTATCATTTTGGGGAAATCCAAGATGGCCTTCTTTTCCCCATAGGAAAAGTGGTGCATTAGATTTTATAGGCACTTCTAAGGCAAATGAGGGTAATCATAATATTTTTTCAAAATACGTAAGGGTATACACTTGTTACCCACCAGATAGATATCTAAAAGTCCAAAAAGAATGTGGGAAATACCGAGAAACAAAATTCATTTTATATTGAACCCAATGTCTCTCTGGCAGTAGTTGACTGTACTATTCCTATTGTGAATTGCAGCAATCTTGAATTTTCTCAAATACGCAAGATGCACACTTGCTACACACCAGATTTATAAAGAGTAAGGTTAATAAGGATGTCAACATGTTTAAACATCAAACGGCTTTATTTCATGTTGGAATCAATGTCTGAACTGTTCTATTAATTAACACCTATGTGCATTTGAATGATATATTCCTATGACAACTGGCAGCTATCTTGGTTTTTCTCCAAATAATACTCAAGGATACATACACTTTCTACACACACAGAGTCTTTCATAAGGTTAAATAGGATATGAAAAACATTTAAAAACGACCCAAAGTTAACTACATTTAAATTGTACTCAGTGTATCTCTAGCATTATTTGATTATGTGTTCGAATATTCTAATGACAAAAGGCAGACATCTTGAATTTTTTCAGAATGCCCAAAGATACACACATGCTACAGACCAGGTATACATCATAGGGGTAATAATAAATGGAATGAAAAACATAAATTATTTTTAAAACAAACCCATGGAAATGTAATTGTATAATGAACCATATGCCTCTCTAGCAGCAATTGAAACCCACCCATTAGTATTCCTATGTTAAATTGTAGGTGTCTTTTTCTCAGAATAGCCAAGGATGCACACTATTTACCCACCAGATATATATCATAGGACTAATAAGGATGGGCAAAACTTGATAAGCAAACACAAATTCACCCTGGTAGTGATGAAAAACCATGGATGTGCAGTTGTAATTCCAGTACATGTAGTATTCCTATGGCCAGTGACGGTCATCTTGGGTTTTCTCAAAATGATCAAATGTGCACATTTATTACCTGTTAGATATGTATCACAGTGTAATAATAATGTGTAAAACACTAAAAAATAAACTGAATTTGATAGTGAATTAGCTGGCATTAGTTCCAACCCTTTGTAATACTAGAAGTATTCCTATTACATATGACGGCCATCTTGGATTTTCTCAAAACGCCCAAGAATACTGTTAGTTACTCACCACATACATATTGTGTGGGTAGAAAGGAAAACACTCAGAAACCAGTTTAATTTGATAGTGAAAAACTAATCTTTCCAGTTGCCATTAGTTGAATCCCCCGTATACTAGAATTCCTGTGGCACATGGCAGCCATCTTGGCTTATCCAAAATGCCCAAGAACACTTCGTAGTTACTCACCACAAACATATTATGTGGGTAACAATGATCTGAGAAACAGACTTAATTTGATAGTGGACAACGTATCGTTCTAGCTGGTAATAGTTGTGCACTAGTATTCCTATGGCTGTTTCTATGGCAAGTGACAGCCATCTTGGATTTTTTCAAAAAGTCCAAGGGAAATTGTTTGCTATCTGACATATATAAATAAAATAGGTAATAAGGGTGTGGAAACTCTGAGAAAATAATTTATTTGATAAAAAATCAACATAGGTATGTACATATTTCTAAAGAATTCAATAAATTGGCGGCCATTTTGGATTTTTTGGCCAAACGGTAATTTTTTTCCGTGGGCTACGGCTCT